TAACTCAGTTTAAATCGACTTCCATCTAGAACGGCACCAGCTGGGAATCTATTCAAAGGGCTGGTCCCACGCAGCTGTGACACAGGAAACAGCCCATGTGGGGTGCTCTCAGCCCCTGCCCCCACCCCCAAAGCCTCCTGCTTCCAGAAATGCCACCTCCATCCCTTTGCTGAGAGACTCAATCCCAGCCCACCCCCAGTCGGGGGGAGAGCACCTGGAGACTGTGGCTCAGCATCGGCTCATTCCAGAAGGGCAGGGGGGTGCAGGGGCTCTGAGGCCTCTCGGTGCAGGCACCCCCCCACACCAGCCCTGCGCTGAGGCTAGGCGGCTCTGCCAGCTACAAGGGGGTGGCGACGGCTGTCTGGGGGCTCAGTGAGGCAGCACGACTCCTACCCTGTCGTCGTTTCTATTCTTCTTCTTCTCATTACTGTTTAGGTGATTTTTCCTGCCAGCGTGCTTTGCCAGAGTGCCGGGAGCAGAGGACGGGAGCTCCCCAGATGCAGAGAGCTCTGGCAGAGGCAGCGGACAGGGGCGCAGGCCCGCACAGGGCTGGGGTTCTGGGGAGAGCTGGCCCTGCCTGGCTGCCCTTGCTGGCACTCCACGGGCCTGCTGGCTGACATCTCCCCTACAGGAGTGGCCTGCCTGGTGACACATTGTCACAACAGCTGTGCTCCCTGCCACTGGCTTGCCCGGGAGCCCCAGGTACGTGGTCCTCCCTGGCCCCTCTGCTCCGGCCATCCCAGCACCTCAGGGCCTTCCCTGGGCCATAGGGCTTTCCTCCCGATTGCTTGAGAGCATCAGAGTGAGGCTGAGACAATCGTCACAAGAGCTGTCACTTGGGGAGAGCTGCCAGGCAGCGTGCTGGCAGGGAGAGGCCGTGGCCACCTAGTAGGTGGTGCTGTGAGCTGCCGTGCGATTTCTAAGCACCGTTTGATTTCTGCGTCCCGCTGCAGGACAGCTCCGATACGAGTCCTCCCCCTTGTAGCAGTGCAAACGGCCTTCCTCCCTCTCTCCTGCTCTCTCTCTGAGTTACTCCGCTCTGTGGCCCCGTCCTGGGATGATCCTTAGGAACCACACCTCTGCCCCATGTCCCTGCTCCACTGTCTGAGTGTCACAGTCCCTGTTACCTGCGATGGCATCTGAACCTCTCCCTCCAGCCCTCTGGGCCCTGCCCTGCTTGACCAGGGCCCGGTCTCAGCTAGCAGCTCACGTCCCCACGGCACCCCGTCTGCCCTGCGAGGCTCTCCGCTCCCTGGGCTTTGCTCAGACACAGAGTGCAGGACGTCCCCTGCCCGGCCTCGGGCTGGAGTCAGGCTGCCAGAGTGAACACCCTGCTCCACCGCTTCCAAGTCACGTGAACTTCATCACATATTGGCACATCACCTTGCCTCAGTTTCCTCATCTGTAAAAAGACAGCAAATGCTAGTGCCCACCCCATGGGTTGTGGTGGGGATCAGATATCTACAAAGCGCCACATGCTCATAATAGCCTTGGCAGAAACGTTCCTTAGTGCTATTGCTGATCTTCTTCAAGGGCCACCTCCACCCACCTCCTCCAAATCATCTTCGCGGTAGCCCCTCACCCCACTCCCGGTCACGGCCAGCCTCTCCCTCCCGTGCATCCCACGGTCTATGAGCTTCTATTTCAGCCCTCGTCTCCATCTGGCCGGCCCATGTGATTCCCGCAGGAGCCCGACTCCCTCAGCCTGAGCTTCTGTGGGACCAAGGCTCATTCACCCCCGGCGCCTGGCGCGGGAGGGGACAGGCAAAGCCGCAGAGCACAGGGACAGGTGTGCGTCCTGCAGACACGGGCCCAGAGAGCCGTGTGCACGGATGAGGCTGGTCCCCAAGTGAGCAAGGTGTCAGGTGACCCCAGCGCTAAATGGAACCTGTAGTTGGGACCCCTGAGCGCAGCACCTGGACCCCCATAAGGCGGAATTGGCATCTCCTTCTTCTCTGCCTCTCTCCGCGTAAACCAGCAATGAGATTTGCAGCTTAATAAAAAAGGTCTTCCAAATTCACTGTGAAGAGCAAGGTGTCTAGGTATTCTGTGCTGGGCTCCCAGGTGTGCTGACCTGTGGTCTGGCCCAAGTGTGACATGGCAGGAAAAGTGATGAGGCGTTTTTCTGAGGACTGTGGTGGGACCATTGCCCAAAGGGGCAGCTGAAGGAGCCTCCAGGGCCCAGACTGCAGGAGCACCATCTGGGGTACGGGGCCCCTTTTCCCACGACATCCAGAGGGCGGCAAGGCCCGGTGGGAAGGTGTCTGCGGAGGCAGGTTTGGCCTCTGTTCTGGGGTACGGGGGCCCCTTTTCCCATGACATCCAGAGGGCGGCAAGGCCCTGTGGGAAGGTGTCTGCGGAGGCAGGTTTGGCCTCTGTCTTCACTTGGGATCTCCCAGAGGCAAATCCTGAGACAAAGATCAGTGCAAGTAAATCGCTAGGGAAGTGATCACAGAAGCGGGAGGGGCGTGGGGAAGTGAACAGGGAAGGTGTGTTAGGCTGTTTTGTGTCGCTGTAAAGGAATGTCTGAGGCTGGGCAGTTTATGCAGAGAAGAGGTTTATTTGGCTCACGGTCCTGCAGGCTGTACAAGAAGCGTCATGTCAGCATCTGCTTCTGGTGAGTGTTTCCGGGAGCTTCCAATCAAGGCAGAAGGTGAAGGAAGAGCAGGTGTGTCTCATGGCACGAGCAGGAGCAGGAGAGGGAGGAGGAGGGGCCAGGCTCCCTTAAGCAACCAGCTTCCTGGCTGGAACTGTTGGAGAGAACTCACCCCTTAGCCGGGGATGGAACGGCACCTAGGCAGTCTTGAGGGATCTGTCCCTAGGACCCAGACATCTCCCGCCAGGCCCCACCTCCACCACTGGGGATCAAATTTCAACATGAGCTTTGGAGGGTTCAGACATCCAAACTGTATCAGAAGGAAAGGCAGCCAGTCATGGGATGTCACTGAGAACGTCACCAATGCAGGCTCCATCCCACTAGGGCTGCAGTACCCAAGCCCAGGGCCACGGCCCAGACCCAGTTCGTGGCCCGTTAGGAAAACGGGCCCTGCCTCACTGCCCGAGCTCCACACCATGACACCCCACCCCCACCCCGGTCCTTGGAAAGATTGTCTTCCCCGAAACCAGTCCCTGGTGCCAAAAAGGTTGGGGACCACTGCCCTAGGGGCCCCTGGGAGCACATGCAGAACACATAGCAGAGATCTCCTACCAGGGGGAGATCGTTGAAACCATTTAACGATGGTGGGGTGTTGGTGTTTAGTCCTGACCTGAACTGCTATAGAAGTTTCTTGATTTTATTTCTTCTTTTCCAATATCTGCCATAGCTGAAAGATAGGCTTCTTTTTATATACACAAAAAGGCCGCAAGAACGAGTTAATGAGCAATTAGGTGTGTTCCATTCGGATGCAAGGAGTTGCCGGACCCTGGCAGACGGGAGGTAGGTGGTCTTCCCCCCAAGCCCTGTGAGGTCTCTGGTGCTCACACTAAAAGACCTCCCGGTAAGGCTGGGTCAGAATGAGCCACGTGTTCTCCATGTAGGCAGGGACATAACGCAGGCAGGACCCCAGTCTGTACATTTTGTGCCTTGTTGAAAGTGCTGGAAATCTTCAAAGCACAAAATCCATCGTTTCAGGCTTAGGAAGAAAGAGACTTGCTTCTTAGCGCCAAGAGTCCTGTTCACTTCTGCGACATTGTCCCATGTGGGGTGCCCGTGAACGGCCGCTTGCTCAGGAGTTTCTTAATGAATCCAAGGTTGAGTGAGGCAAACGCCTCTCTGTCCCCCCAAATGGAGAAGTCTCAGAGGTGCACTAACTGTCTAAGGTTTAATGGACAAATAAAAAACAGTCCCAAATATCCAGTGAGTCAAGGCGGCATTGCCCAAAGGGATGTGTCTGGATGGAGGTGATGGTCATTTAACTAAAACCAAAGGAGAAACTACTAGCACCTTTTAAGGCTAGGTTAGAAGAAAGGAGGTAGAAATGGTTAAAAATATTAATATCTGTGTTCTTTTTAGGGTTAAAAGAAAAAAAAAAAAAGTCTTGCTCACATCAGTCAAGGTGAGGGGTGGACTGCCGTGAGGGTCTGGGTGGGGGATAGGGCAATGGAACCTCACAGAGATCCGAAATCAGGAGGTGCAGCACAACAACAAAAAGACAAATTGCCCAATTACTATCAAATATAGGCAAAGGACTTGAACAGACATTTCTCCAAAGAAGATATACAAATGGCCAATAAGCACATGAAAAGATGCTCTGCTTCATCAGTCATTAGGGAAATGTAAACCAGAACCACAACGAGATGCCACTTTACACCCACTGAAATAACTAGCATCAAAACAACAGGAAATAGGTGCTGGCGAGGAAGCAGAGACGTTGAACTCGAGTGGCTGCTGGCGGGAGGGAGAGATTGTGCAGCTGCTGCGGAAACCAGCCTGGCAGCTGCTCGAAGAGTCCAACACGGGGTCACCATGTGACCCAGCAGTTCAGCCCTGGGTGCCTGCCCAGGAGAAGGGAAAACACATGTCCACACACAAACTCATACTCCTGTGTTCACAGCAGAATTATCCATAACAGCCAAACCACAGAAACACACCGAACACCCACCAACTGAGCAATGGATAAATGACTTGGTTTCTCTATGCAATGGAGTATTATTTGGCCACAAAAAGGAGGGAACATTGATACATGTTACAACTTGGATGAACCTTGAAAACATCGTGTTAAGAGCAAGCAGCCAGCCCCCGCGGAGCACGCATCGCGTGGTTCCGGGTGTGTGTCAGGTCCGCAAGAGGCAAGTCCGGAAGTCGGACAGTGGCGGAGTGTGTCCGGGCAGCGGCAGGAGGGATGGGGGGCGACTGCATAGCACAGGGGAGTTTCTTTGTGGGCTGCTAAAAATATTCTGGAAGTAGCAATCATGGTCGCAAACAGTGCGATTGCACTAAAACCCCTGGAATTGTACATGTTAAAATGACTAAGATGGTAAATTTTGTTATGTGAATTTTGCCTCGATAATAATTTTTTAAAACAGGGGTTGTGGTCATAAATCATAATTTCTGGAGCATAGCTAAAAAGAAAATGTGGGGTCCTTTGCTCTAAATTATGATGACTTTCGGGGTGGTGATGGCACAGCCCTAAAGCAGTGAGGTGTCCTGCGGGGACACGCGGGCCCCACCCCCAGCAGCAGGGCGAGGCAGGGGCCTCGTCTTGGGCCTCTGTAGCAGGAGCCGGAATCCCCAGCTCCTCTGTGACACGGCGGTGGGGGTCTGCCCTCCCTGGGTCCCCACGTGCTGCCACCCCGGCTCCCTAGTTGCGTGCGCCCAGCTCCGCCCCAGGGCTTGTCTCTCCTTGGTTCCTTCCGGCTCACTTCCCACTGCAACTGACTCTCCTGGTGGTGCTCCCGCGCATGCCAGAGGGAGGGCGCCCCAGTTGTCTCAGCAGCTGCGTCATAGGTGACTGGTCCCCGCTGAGCTCTTCCTTGGCTGTGGCGGGAGGGGATCGTGGGGACGAAGCCTGAGGCCCCTTCAGCAAAGGTTGGGGTGGGACGTCCTGTGCCTAGGGCGGGGACTGCACTTGAGCGTCTGCCATAGCTGCGTAGGCCAAGGAAGAGTAAGGGGGGGGGGGCGCATGGGAACAATGGGCTTGGCTGTCTCTTCCCCACTTCCTGTCCCACCCCACCAGGGACAGTTCTTTGATACTGGACATGTCACCCACGCTCCCGGCCAGCCATGACCTCTTCGGCAAACAGAAGTAGAACTGTAACAGTTTGCGCACGGGGACTGGACCAGGTGATTAAACAAAATAAACACAGGCTGAGCTCCTGCTGCGTTCCGGGGTGTGCTGGGCCCTGGGCAGGTGAGGGGGAGGACGGGAGGGGACACAGACAGCCACACAGCTGATGGAGACGCTAGGTAGGGCTGGGGGCGTCCTAACCCAAGCAAGATGGGAGGGACACAGCAGAAGGCAGACGGACCTCCCTGGGCACCAACAACCTCTTTGTCCAAGAGAAGACACTTGAACTGGGCTTGGAGAACGAGCGGTGTTTCGACAGGAGACGAAGAGCCTTGGGGGAGGGGGGTGTATCACAAGCAGGAGCAGGGCCCAGCAGGGCTTTAGGGCAGAGGAGAAGCTGAGACAGTGTGCGGCACAGCTCTCGGTGAGCTTGGTGAGCCGAGCCAGACACCCCTCACTCTCATGTTGGACGTGACGTCACCCCTCGAGGAAAGGAGCCCTCTGTCTTGGATTCCCGGCAACTCTGTGTGGTGCTCCCGAGGGTCTGGAAATCCACTGGTACCCCAGCAGGCAGTGGGAGGGACCCCATGGGAACCAGCTCCCCAGCCCGCCTTCTGCTCCCAGGTGCAAACGAATGTCACATCCTGCTTCTCCAGTGCTGCGTGGGGCTGGGGCGAGGGTCTCACGGAGGGCCTCAGCCAGGACCACTGAGCACAGGTCGTGGAAGGAAGCGAAGCCCCTCTCCTGTCCGGCTACAGCCGGCAGAAGCCTCCACTTCACCGAAGCTTCCATCCTGGGACTGCCGCTCACATTGCTGGCTGGCCCCGACCGGTCACCTCTGTCCCAGAGTTGGAGCCCTCCTGCCAGCTCCCTCCTGACTCACCCACCCTGCCCGCAGCCACCAGATGCTCTCAGGGACCGGACCACAGCCACCAAAGCCACAGCTGGGGGGAGAGGGCAGAGCACCTGAGATTTCACCTCCGGGTGGGACTCTGAAGACCATCTGGATTTTACATTAAAATATGGTCCTGTTTCACTTGGTTTTTCAAGAGTGGAGGTTTTGTTACTAGACGTTCCACTCTAGTACCTTCCGTGGGAGGTATTTTCTACCATAAACTCACACTCACTTTGCATCTGTCCCCTTTGTGAACCTACACTGAGGAGGTAACCTTAGGACAATATCATCGGTGGTAGCCAAAGTAGAGCATTCTTTTCTTTAAATAAAAATTTCTTAAAATAAAAATAAAAATTTTGTCTTGTTGCAAAGTAATAAATATTCATTGCAGAGAAAAATAGAAAATGCTGAGAACCAAACAGTACAAAATAAAAATTATTCCCTTGGGATTACTGTAGTCAACATATATACAGTATTTCTTTCTATGCGTATATATTCCAAAAAAAAATCATGATTGCATCACTAATTCATAATCTGCTTTTTTTAGCTAACAATATGCACTAGACTTCTTTCTATGTCACTAAATTATTTTCCTCCTATGTTATCTTAATGATCACATAATATTCAAAATAGCATTAAATCAATTCTCATTCAAAGTGTATTTTTATACTTTTTTGCTTTTGTGAACAGTGCTGCTATAAATGTTCTTGTAGCTGAATTTCTGCACATATTTGTGATTATTTCCTTGGCATAAATTCTTGAAGTTGGAATCACTGGGTCAAAGAGAGGTAAAAATTAAGGTTTTTGAATGTATCACCAAAATGCCCCCAGAAAAGTTATATCTATTTATACACCTAAGAGTAGTGTAGAAGAATTTATCTGTATCCTTGGCAACCAATTAATGTTCTTTTTAATGATTGTCAACTGAAGACTAGGACAAAATGATACTTCATTTAGCATTTATTTGATTAATATGCAATGGAACATTTATTTGTGTATTGACCAAATATGTATATTTTTGTGTGATATCATTCCATGCCCTTTCACTGAAGTATTCCTTTCTTTCCTATTGATCTTTAACAGCTACTTATATATTGTAGCTGTTGAACCTATTACTAGCCGTATGTGTTATAAATATATATTCCATGGTTGCTGATTGCCTTTGGTGGTATTTACAGCTTGTTTGGGAAGCCCAGCTGTTCTCTTTTTATGATCAAATCTGTCAATTTTATCTTTGATGGTTTCTACCTTTGGCATCAAGCTTAAACAGTCTTTTCTCACTTTGAGGCTATATAGATAATAAACGATGTTTTCTTCTGATACTTTTATAGATTTCTTTCACACTTAAGGTTTAATCCACCTGGAATTTATTTAGTTTTATGGTATGAGTTTTTTTGTTTATTTTGTTCCACCACTCATTTGAAATGAAAATGGCATATTTTGGGTTATATCTTTTTTTCTTTTTTTTAAGAATATGATAGGGTCTTACTGTGTTGCCCAGGCTAGAGTTCAGTGGCATGGATTGTACCGGCGACGGCAGCCTTCGAACCTCCTGGGCCTCAACGCAATCCTCCTGTCTCAGCCTCCTGAGTAGCTGGAACCTCAGGCATGCACCACCATGCCCCACTAATTTCTTTTCTTTCTTTTCTTTTTTTTTTTTTTTTTTGTGTTGGTAGATGACGGCCATCTCCTAGCGTTGCCCAGGGCTGGATCCCAAACTACCTGGCCCAGAAGCGATCCTCCTGCCCTGACCTCCCAAAGTGCTGGGATTACAGGCGTGAGCCGCTGTATCCGCTGGGCTCTGTCTTTGTTCCCCCTGACCGGCAGGTATCTCCCCGCACTCAGTGGCCCAGTCGGCTTTTCCATGCACGGATTACAGATCAGCTTTTGGGAGTACTACAGGCTGTCTCCCTCCTCGCACACAATCCCCGGTTCCCTTGTCCCCCAGCCCTGCAGGGCACGGCCGCCAGCTCTTAGGACGCCACCAGTGAGGAAACACCTGCCGGCAGTACCACGCCCGGCGGTGGGAGCGAGCCCGTGGAGAGATCAGCTGGTCGGCGCGCCGTACCCGGTTATGGGCTTAGCCCTCGGAGTGCTCTCTGGGCGTGAGCTGGGATGGACACCACTTTTCCTTTACCTCCGCCAGAGGACACGCATCCAGGTCTGAGAAACCAAACTGTAGTCCTTCTCCCCTGGTAACGCAGGTTCCCCATCTTGTGCGGCGTCCCGTGGAGCCACGGGGGCTCCACGCACCCTCGCGGCGCGGCACGTCCCCGGTCTGCGCTCATTCTCAATGAAGAGGAACGTTAGGCTCAGAAGTCCCATAACTCACCAAAGCATCATTTCAAGTAAACGCCGGAGTTAAAATCGAATCCAGTCCTGCTCACTCTGAAACCCCAGCCCCGCCCCAGCCCCTCGGCAGGGAGGGGGGCAGGCAGACTCCGCTTCTGCGTGGACGCCAGGAAGATGTCTCGGAATGGCTATCACTAAAGACCATCGACTGGTGGCTTAAAGGACAAGCATTGATTTCTCAGTTCTGGAGGCTGGAAGTCCAAGATCAGGATGCCGGCAGATCTGGTGTCTAATGAGGGTCCCAGCTCTTAAACAGCACCTTCTAGTCCTCTCATGTGGGAGAGAGAGAAAGAGAACCCTGGTCTCTTCCTCTTCTTATCAGGGGACTAATCTCATCATGGGACACCACACTTGTGACCTCATTTAAAAAGAAATCACTTCCCAAAGGCCCCATCTCCAAAAAACCATCACATGGGGGGGGTGTTAGGCTTTAACATGTGAATCTTGAGGAAGGATGTAAACATTTAGTCCGTCAGGCAGACGGCCCTCTGCCAGGACTCCCTCTGGCCCCACAAACTGACTCGGGCTGAGCGTTCCACAGGACAGAACGGACCTCCTACCAGGGGAAGGAACCAGTTTGTGTCTCAGACACGATTTCCTTTGCAGGGAAGGAAGATTGTGATATACATCGCTGTATCGCTTGCAAGGTGACAGGAGAAGTGGACCCACTGCGGGGAAGTGGGACGGATCGGGAAGGCATCTGCTTGGGATTTGGTAGCTGTTCCTTCCCTGGAGTCGGGAAATTTCTGCATCCATTGCAATTCTTCTGGCCATTCAAGCCAAGGACCCATTATCCAGTGTGAAACATCCACAATGTCCCCATGGACCTAGCCATTACCGTGTATAGTACCTCTGACTTTGCAGTAATGGGGGCACAAAGGCAGTGCGGTATTGGCACATCCCCGAGGTGGGGTGAGACCACGTGCATATGTGAGTCACTCACATACTCAAGGTCTCCTCAGCTTGGGGTGGGAGCCTGGGGCTCTCAGGCGGCAAGATGCCCACACATCCATCTATCCACCCATCCACTCATCCACTCACCTACCCATTCACCCAAACATTGTCTATGTGTCTATCTATCCATCCATCCATCCGTCCACCCAGCCCTCTACCCAAACACCCATCCAGCCATCTACCCAAACAGCCGTCTATCCACCCAGCCACCCAGCCATCCAGCCAGTGATATTTATGGAGTGCTTATGAGCCAGGCCCAAACTAGAGGGATTCATGAGATATTCAAAGCTGCACATTGCAACTCAGCTTTCAGGCACCATCTCCGAACCCATAGGCTAAAGTTGTGGTTTGAAGAGGGTCATTTCATGTTGTAACCTTCTATTGGCATTTTTACCATAATTTATTCTTTTTGGCCAGGTCGTGATAAAAGCTGTACGTTTGAGCCAGGAGGCAATCTGGGGGTTTTAAAAATCACTTTCCCCTGGCCTTGGCAAGCTGATCTCTGCTTCCACGGGGGACAGGAGCCAGGGCAGGGCAGAAGTAGGGGAGGAGTCCTTGAAAAATTAATTCCAGTAGGAAAATCACATGCTGTGTTTATTTTCTAAACAAATCAAATGGAAGGTTTTCCTTTCCCGCCTCACTGTCGGGGGGCTGTGGGTGCACTGGTTCCGACGGTGACGTGTGGGGGAGGGGCCAGGCAGACCCACTGTCCCCAGCACTGCCACTTGCAGCCTGGAGCACATCTACTCACATACGCAGTGTGGACGGTTCCACCGCCTGGAGGACATGTGGCAAGGACTACGCAAGCCGCCAGCCCACCCGCTGCCCAGACCCTCCTGCTCAGCAACCATCGTGAAGCCCGGGCCGTTCCACTGGAGGCGGGTTACGGACCCATCGTCATCGGGAGCTGGCTCTGGAGCCTGGGCTGGAGCCCAGAGAGCAGTGAGAGTTGCCCAGAGCCCACCAGTGAGCAATGCCAGGCCTGGGCACAGAATGCGCCCCGCCACTTGCCTCCGTGCCTCTCTGACTGCACTCGGCCTCCCCCCTGCCCCACGTGCACTGTAGAGAGGGCCCAGCCCCGAGTCACCTCCCTGGCCACCTGACCCCTCCAGCCAGGACAGGCTCCATCATCGCTCCCCAGCCACACTCAAGGCTCTGCCTTCTTACTTCAACCTGACAAAAGCGTCCTGGGCCCGCCCCACTCCAGCCCGCTGCCTGGAGACCTCCTCTCCGAAGAGCAGCCAGCTCCCCGCCTTTACTCCTCTGTTCTCCCTCCCGGTGATCCCCACACCAGCCCCACGGCAGACACCCCAACGAGTCCTCAAAGTCTGTGTGCGTCTGGTCCTCTCTTCCTGACACACTGCAGATCTGTGGGGGCTGACACGGCGACAGACCCCCTGCGTCACTGCCATGGCCCCTAACTGGTCTCCCCTCATCCATTTCTGCCCCTCCCAGGCCACTGTCACCCTGTCTTCAGAGTCTTCCTTTTAAGCAGTATCTGATCCTGTGGCCCAT